GTGAGAATCAAATAATATGATGTATGTGAAAGGAATTTGTAAATAGCAAAGGGCTATAAAATATTAAGAATTCTTTTTTTGCGTGCCAATGTTAGTATAGCCAGAATTCCCCCAAGAATGATTGTTTAATCAGTGAACTAACCAGATCATTTCCTTTCTTCATTCTCTCTTCCTGCTATCTGTCCTTTAGCCGTTCCACTCTGTTCTCTTTGTAAGGAGAAGGTGAACAGGGCCAGTCCTAATCCCACACTTATTTTTTTCCCAGAAAATGTTACCTGTAATATCAGAGTCACTGTGCCGATTAGACATCTTTAATTACTATGTATTATTTTAATGTTCTTCCCTGATATTTGTACTTCTTAAATGAATAGCAATTAAGCAAATTAGCTAAGCTGTGGGAGTTATGATTTTTTAAATCAGATTCTTGAGTACTGTTTTATACTTTGTTGAATCTAAAGGGAAAAATAGCACACTCAGCAAATGCATTTTAAAGCTCGCTAATACTTGCTATGTGTAAATGATTCTAAAAACTACAAGATGATGTCAGCTTTCAGCATTACAAAGTCTCTGGATAACATTTGTTTAGGTACTTTTCTGGTTGGCTCACATGGAGTCAAGCCCAGATGTGGTTACCTTTGTTTCTTTATAGAATTTGTTTACTTTCATTAAGACCGACTTGGTAACTGAAGGGAGATGCAAATAGGAACCAGTGCAAGGATCCATAGATAAGTGGTGTGCACCATTTCAACTCTCTCTCTGGACTCCAGGAAATCAATATGACAGCAAGGCAGAGGTGTCCCTAGGAAACCTTTATATTAAGTCTGGACAAAAAAGGCAGTGTGTGACTCCCCACGGCAGTGCATGGCAGACCAGTGCATGGTACTTGGAGTACAAATAATTCAAAATATTGTCCTAGCTTCCAGAAAGAAATCGCACTGAAACAGAACCAGGTTTGTAGCACTATCATATCAGATCGCTTCACACTCTGGGCTCATACATCTTTCTTTGTTTACTTCAGAGAAACGTATACTTTGTATGTCTGATGCGTGGCTCTGTTTCATCAAAGCATTTTGAATGTCGGATTAGGTAACCCCCAATTTACTATGTAAAAAGTAAGATGCCAAAAATCCCCCTTGTGTCCTAACTCTCAGCATATTTCTGGATCTTAAATTGATTACAAAATAGCTCTGGTTGTTTGAATGTGAATTTCTAATGTCATTGGCAAGTTGGACCCTGAGTATTTAATCCGCCACTCACAATCACACAACACCCCAGATATGTTCTGGTGATTCTGCAGTGCAAATTAACGACATTAACATAATTCAAAAAATTATCTTCGAATATCTACAACCTAGCAGAAATTATTCTAGGTTTCTCGGTGAAGTCTCCCGGTGCTAAGAACCAATTTTGAAATTAAGAGTGATATCCGAGAGGATGTGTATCATGTAAAACTGGGAAGAATCACTGTTTATAGGCACATAAACAGTACCGTGGCTATTGACAGATAAGCACCATGTTTCTGAAAGCAGATCTACTATAATTTACTAAAAGGGCAACTTTTTACAAAACTGTGTAATGTATGGCATGTAACTTCAAATCCAATGTTTTCGCTGTGTGAAATTTTCACCTGTGTTTTGTATAAAATATACATTTTTAAATGGATTCAGTGATTTTTTGATTTCATCATGGTCCCTCTGGATAAAAGCATTAAGTGAAATCAGATAAAGTGTAAAAGAAATGAAAGTAAAATTAAATTTGAGAAATTTTTAACCAACGAACTATCAATGTGTAATATGACTTGCTGTCTCATTTTGTTTCATAAAATGTAACCAGTACGTCTCCACTTGCAGCATCCCTAGTACCATATTGTACTGCACTGTAATAATATTGTAATCTCTATGCTGTGATAACATTATGATTAAACACTTTTATTACAGAAATGCCTCATGACTGCTGACCTTTTCCAGTTTGTTCTTTATAAGAAAGCACAAGCCAAAGTGAAAAAAATAATTTAGGAAAGCCAATAAATGAATAATTGGAGCCTTTCTTTAGCGAGTCAAACATTGCCACCAGGGGAAACCAGCATTCATAGTGTACACATATACCACCTACATTATTTATTTTCAATTTGTTCTTTTCTCTTCTTTGCAGGTGCCCAGAGATGTGATAAAGAACTGCTCGGCTTCGTCTCCGGGCTGAGTCAAAGTGGGTCCCTGCTCTTGATCTTCCTTTGACTTTATCTGGGGGAAAGTAAAACTCATTAGACACCAATGAATGCATCATTTCATCCCAAGAATGTTGAGTTTTGACAGTTCCCTTTCAAGAGCACATAGTAGTAACACACATTTTTCAACGCTGAAAATGATCTGCTCTCTCCTAATGACATTTAAAAAGTCCTTTACAGTTTATATGTTTTCGTCATATTAACTGCCTAAATTTTTAAAAATTAAAGTAAAACATACATGAGAATAGAAGAACTTTCAATTAGTTCAGAAAGGCATTAACGAGTAGTCACTCCTTTCTGCTGTTAGACACTCATATCCATAATTCTACTCTCAATATTTTTTATTTCTTTCCAGAAAAATTTCTAATACATACCCTATATCTACATTTATATTTGTTTTGCTTAGCATTAATGGAAATTCACAATAAAAACTGTTTACATATTACTTTTTCACATCAAAATACTTATAAATAATCCCAAATCTACACATTATACTTCTTTCTTATTCTTTTTAATGGCTAATATCATACCATGCTAAGACAATAACTGGCCTTAATTTTACTATTTCCTTATCA